TGTTTAAAGTGAACATGTTGATGACCCCATTACAAGAATTACATTTTATCATAAACATCCTTTTAGGTTTAAAAGTCTACATATTACACATTTATTATTGTCTAACAACCAACATTTTAGAGAAATGAGCATTGTGTCACTTGGATAAACTTCTCAGTTTATATTTCATTTCAAATATATTAATTTATGTTCTACTGATGAACACATTTCTCATGAGCAGTAAATGATGCAAACTCTTTTAGAGTCAAATATAAAATCTAGGAAAGGCAAAGTGTGTTCATCTCTTGATGCCAGTGTTGGTGTTTTTAATATTTTTTTACATTTTTTTAGACTAAACCCCACAGTGTGTAGTAGTAAAGTGGCTGTCTGCATTCATAAGACTATATTAAGTGACATGCACTGCAGGGGACATCAGTTTGATGGTGCCAGGAAACCCTACTATGTGTCTCATTATGTAAGGCTGGCAGTCTGTGTGGAATTCAGTCCACTTTATTGTATCCACTGTGTTTCTGTGCCTCCTGTCTGCTTGTGTCTTTATTTTGAGAGCTCATTAAAGAAACTTTTGGGCAGCGCAGTGTAGTGAGGATAGAGGGTTAAAAATACACCCAGATTAGAGATGACCTGTGGCTATCCTCACAACCTGACGCTAATTCTCTCTGGTCAAGCCAGACCAACACGAAACATGGCACATTGCACAAGCCATGGCAGCTTGGTATCATTGATCTATGCTGGGAATAGAGAACAAATATTAGTGGCCCCATATTTATGTAAGATTCTGTTTTGTAATCTATATTAAAGTTAAGTGTTTTCTTCATTTGAATTTATAATAAAATTTATTTGCATGCAGATAATGTTTTTTATAAAGCTGGATTTTATAATAATTTTTTTATATAATTCAGTTTAAGTTGATTAATTCTAAATGTATATATAAATTATCTTTAAATTAGAAGTACACATGGCCCACAGCCACACAGGTATGACACAGCACTTTCACATATTAATGCAATTTTACAAGTCATGCTTTACATAACCCACACATAGTCTTGTACTGTAATCGCACGTACACACATTTATTGCTACATATTGTACCTTTATGACGACAGACAGGTTAGGAAATACCATTTGGAGTGAGACTCTAGTCTAAATACAGGTCTATGGAAAATATTTAATCATTTATTTTTAGTGTTTCTGTAGAATGAGTAATCAAATGACTGAATTGCTTGATTATCTTTTTTTTAACACAATTGCTTCTGAAATTATGATTGACTTATTGACTATATATTGATATTCTGGCATTGTGTGCATTTATTAGTAGGGATGCTTCAATCTAGGGCTGGATGATATAGCCTAAGTTCAAAATCTCGAAAAATTGAACATTTTAACTCGATTAATAATCAATTATTTTATTTATTTTATTTTTGCTTCCACAGTTTACTGACAGGTTTTGTACAGTAAATATGCTCACAAGTCAGAGATTTTTAAATGAAGGGTGGATTACTTTATTTAAAAATAACTGAAGGAAACATACACTATCTACTCTCTATGATAATTTATTGAACATCAACGTTGAACAACTGAAATTAAAACACACATTGCCTAAAACAAACCGTCACGTTTTTCTTATAAAAAAGTAAAAACAAATAACTTGCAGTTTTGGAAACAAAATTAATTATTTTCAATGTCTTCAAAAGTAGATAATAAGCAGTATCTCTTCTAAATAAAATAACTTGTATATTCTGTAAATACTATTTTAAACTGCATTTTATTTTAATAGAAAATATGCCGTCATATCTGGCACAGCTTTCAATCATCATCAATGTAGTGCAAACGAGTGACGTGCAGTTACATTTCTCAAGAGGTTTATGGCTATACGACCACAGGAAGGCTGCGCCAGACCATACTTGTACTTTTGACACAGTATAAATCAGCCTTAAAAGAGCAGTGTTACGTGACTCCACATACGGTGGGGAAAGTAATTGACAATAATAGAAGAATTAAATTGCTTATAGGATCTGAATGTCGATTTCGATTTTCGATTAATCACCCAGCCCTACTCCAATCGATCTGCCAAAGATCAGTATTGGCCGATAATCACATTTCATGACTTGATCAGTACTCTCCAATCTCACCGATCTCATGAAGCGATTGCAGGTGTTTGTTTAGGAGTTTACAAGCAGAGGAAGATGCACGTGCGCTCTGTTATATTATACTGGTCTACAGCAGCCACAACACGTGAGGAGGTAAATGATGCGTGGGTCGTGATCGATCGATTTGCTTACGTCACAACAGCTTATATTTATACAGATGCTGTGAGACCTGCTATACCGTCTAAAGCTGCTTCTGGCCATATCATGTTCACACCTAAATGGTTATAAGGTATTTTGTGCAGTTTAGGTATTAAGGTATGTTAAGGTATTATATTAAGGTATGTTAAGGTATTATATGCAGCATCCTTAATTTATTTTCTTAGGTAAAGTGAAATCTACTCTTAAGGATTCATACTTAGAGGGAAAATGAGCTTAATGCATTATAAAGCTTGAAGCATTAGAATCTGTACTTGGTATCGGCTGATCAGCATGACAAGGAATCGGTACTCGGTATCGGCTGAAAAAAATCCTGACTGCAGCATCCTTATTAAATACTGCCATTTGTGACTAATGCTGAAACATTTAAATAGTCATTAACATAGTTGTGTATGCGAAGAATAATGCCTATGAAACACATGCTGCTTCCAACATTCAGGTGGTAATTAATCCAAATTGAAATGTAAATTACAGCCATATATTTATATACTTGAAGATCTTTTCTTCCCACAACGTCAGAAAATTCTAGCCTATGTTGAAGCTCCTGTGCTTGTCTTGCATAAATAATGCAGGAATTGTTTGTCAAAGCTGACATTCTGTTTTCCTGATCATCAGGAAGATGCACGAAAGGATCCTGTGGTGTTGCAGTCATTCATCACAGGGGATTAATAAAGCAGAGACATGCACCTCGCAGCTGGTTTTTAAATCAGAACAGCAAGAGGGTTCTGAAAAATGCTTCTCAAGCAAATCTTTACTCTCCGTATCATGCTCCAAAGCAAAAGGCAATTACACAATGTGATCTCTAGGCTTTAAAATGCTGAGTAATGGTACAGCTAATTGGTATTTAACCCCTTTCCTCATCCCCTCACTCTGAATGACCTTTGCCAAAGACTTGCACATACAGTAGTATATAAATGTATTGATACTAAATGCTGTTTATCTTGATTACAGATTGTTATAGTCTTGATTAGACTTCTCTTGTAGCTTGTTAACATTTATAGTTTTAAATCTAGATGTTGTGCAGCACTATTTATTTTTTCTGTCAAGTACAAAATCAAAGAAATACTGATAGGGAAATTATAAATAAATAGTAGTCGAGACAGGATCATGAAACTAGATAAAAGCAGCAAGGGTGTTTTAAGTGCATTTGTGGACGTGTTTTGTTTTGCTGTAATTAGTCACTCATATGTAAATACTTACTCCTGTGTTGTCTATTTATGATTTTACAACATTACATTTTAAAATGTTATTGACTAGCATTGCTTTTCCCCTTTGCAGTAAAAGCGTGAAGTAACCAAGTTTGTCAATGTGCCTAAAATATAGTTTGGACATAGTTTAAATTAAATACATTTTATTTTCATAGGTATTTAGAGTGAATAATGAAATATAGAATAATATTTGGATGAAATATCCCATTATATCTGCATTTCTGAGTCATTCAAGCAGCACAGTGTTCTTCCCATCATTGTTTTAGCTTTCCCACATGTTTGAGGTAATCAAAAATATGCTTAAATGCAAAGAAAATTTAATATTTAGCAGAATAAACCTGAAAAACAAGACAGTGTTGTTCTTCACACGGGAGGATACAAGACGATGGATGTGATGCAAGCTACCCGAAGAAGTCGGCACAGTGACGCGGAACCGTGATTGGTCAGATGTGTGTCAGCAGACATCAACATCCGCATGCTATTGGTCAGCTTATCTGAATACTAAACCTGCCTTACGTCTGTCCTCAAACGCTACAGAATTACAAAAGCGTGAAATTGATCTACAATGAGTAATCGCTTCAACGTAACCATGTGCCGGATGCTTAACAAGCGACACAGTTGAATGATCAGTGCAATAAACAGCTATGATGGCGAACCGGTACAGAATCAAGAACATATGTAGATAGGTTTATGAAGAGCATGCATAAAGCGAATGTTCACTTGCACTTATTTCGTATTATGAACATCATTTTGCTACAGAGATTCTGGACTAGGCTTGATTTTGAGTCATTAAACATTACTGCTTGCATGTTAGCATTTCCTGTAAGTGCCCATTAGTCTAGTAATTAACTCCAGTCAGTCTTGGCTGATTGATAAATGGATCGACTCTACATTCATGTGTAAAGCATTTTCAACTGTTTTTTTTAACCGGTTCACCCGATTAGGGGAAGGATTCGACTCTAAAGAACGATTCTGTCACGAATCGGACGTCGCTGCTTTGTGAGAGCTATTTAAGACCTGATGAACCGGTTTAACCTTAAACGATTTAATGCTCGTTTAAAGATTTGTTTACGAAAAATAAATGCGCTTCACGTATGTTTTTAAATATATACTAAAACCAGTTCAGATTGTCTCGAAGGACACACGCAGAGCATCACCTTGAATAGGCTTTGAATCTGATTAGTGCGCTACGATGCTTCAAATAGCCTATAGCATCGCTCATTCCACGCAGATCAGCGGAGATGCTGAATAAAACGCTAGACTCAGACAATATTGATGAGTCTCGAGGGGGGAAATCACACTGTGCATCCATCATGGTCTGGATAATATACCTGCCAGTGACTTTCAAGAGTCCCTGACGATTTTTAGGCTTAATTCATGCTTAACATGTTTAATACGCTGGTCAGAACAAAAGAGGAAAGTCTATACGACGGCATCTGTGGTCATTAGTGCGGTCTTGCACATTTATCATGCATCAGAGCTACTGTACCAGTTCTCCTGCATCCACCGAATCGCCTCATCTTCATTGAACTGCCTCTCGAATTCGTATTCTTGCAATGCCAGCACCGACATGGTCTCTGGTGGTCCTCTGAACGCTTACTGAAGAACGTGAGCCTGAGCGAGCGAGTGAGTTGTGATTAAGGGATTTCTGGCTATGTCTCGCGGGCTCAGCTCCAGCCGTGGCCTCGCATCTCTCTCTCCTCCTCCAGCACACTCGGTGAGTTGTTCTCGAATGTCAGTTGATTTGACTCTCCGTGCCGGCACACGCCCTCCTTTTTCTGACTGCGAGGAAGAGGAACGCCAGGTCCTAATGCCGCAGAACTGATGCATCCTCCTCTTAAACGAGCTGTCGTCATCCACAATGAGGTGACCTTTGGCATACATTCCAAGAGATGCGCTTTTCATCATTTTCGGACGCTGTCCAGACAGTATGAGCTCAGTATTTGTGATTAGTCAATATTTGTGAACGGTCTCGTCTGTTTGCATGAAATATATTTGTCATGTAAACAAATGCAATCCATATAGCGAGGGCCTTGACTGACCTGCATCCAAAGTCTCATCCAGCCTGTCATGGACTTGGATTTGTTTTTTGGATTTGTTAATGATTTTTTTTAATGAATAAAGTGCATTAGCCTAGTGATAAACAGATCACTTATGCGCTGCTGTTAAAAACAATGATGCTTTTTGTTGTATGATTTATGTTTGAGTTTAACTACTGAAGAGGTTTCTTCCTAATTTAAAAAGAAATGTTGCCATTTAGTGCACCTCTTCCATAAAATAACAAATATGTGGCATATTTCTGTTGATCTATTGAAGCAATTTGGAGAAAATTATTCTTCCTTTCTTGATTGCTTTTCTTTTTTTCACAGGGGTAGTTCACAAACACCGAAATTAAAATTTTGTCATTTGCACACTTCACTTTTTTTTGAGTTTCTGTTGTTGAATACAGCTGAAAATAATTAGAAAAATGCTGGTTGCGTAAACTTCCATTGTGATTTTTTAATTACTTCTATGGAAGATGATTCGCCCCAGCATTCGTCAAAATATCTTCTATTGTTCTATTGTTTTTTTTTTTAAATAAAATTAAATAGTTTTTAAAACCACAAGAGCAAACTGGTCATTTTCATTTATTTTTTATTTTTGAGGGAATTTTCCATTTAAATGTCATCCCACTTTTTGAGTTCACACTTGAAAATGATATGTGATATATAGTTCGTCAATAATCTGTGAAAATGGTGAAAGTGGAGTTAAATTTCCTTGTCCTCCTGATGCTTGTGGTATCTCATGGGACAAAGCTGAAACACATTGCATTGTTTTAAAATGAATGTCATTTATATTTTTATAGACAAATGATTTATCTTTTTTTTGTCATAATAAGTTTTTGTACCTGTGCTAATTTAGTAGGATTTTTATTACATTTTTATTATATACAGTATGATGTTTAATATTTATATTGATTAATACATTAAAATATGAAATATAGTTAAAAATTAATACAATGTATTAGTCTTAATAATTTAGGTATTCATCATTATAGTATGTTGAGTTAAACTAAATAAGCTGAAATATTTCCTTTGCTATTTTATTATGCACTGCTATACAAATAATTATCATTTTTGTTATATAATTTATAATTGTTTGAGTATAATTACTGAAGAGGTTTCTTGCAACTTTTAAAATAAATGTTGCCATTTACTGCATTCCCTAAATAACAAAAAGATGGCATGTTTCTGTTAATCTACTCCCCAGTTCAAGGAATGCAGCCTGTTTTATGTTTTCGGGGGGATTTTATCGTACTAAAATATCCTAAAAATCATATCAAGATATTTTAGTACCATGTCATGACTAGCCTAATTCAGAGTGATTTCCATATAGACGATAGATTATTATTCTTGATTGAATTGTAAAGATGCTGCCAGATATGATGATTTGTTGCTTTTTTAAATTTCTTTAAAAGAAACAATACTGGAAGTTTGATGACAGGGCCACACGATTAGTAGACTAAATATAATGGATACAATCCAACATGGATGAAGCTTTATCTAATGAGGTCTGAAATAATATATATATATGTTTTTTTTTGCAGTACAAGTGGATGACTTTATGGCACATGTTTGCACGTAGTTCTTTTGAACTGTGAATTGTGATGTATTTTTCTGATGTAAAACTAAGTGAATAGAAATGTTATAATAAAAAAAATAAGCGAGTCACACTTGTACACTAGTTTTGTTCAACTTTGTTGAGTCTTTTGGTTTGTACCAAAAAATAAAATGATAAATTTAGTGACACTGTTATCAGTTTGTATACATACATATTCATTCATTCATTCATTTTCTTGTCGGCGTAGTCCCTTTATTAATCCGGGGTCGCCACAGTGGAATGAATCGCCGACTTATCCAACAAGTTTTTTTACGCAGCGGATGCCCTTTCAGCCACAACCCATCTCTGGGAAAAGTTTGTATACATATTTTCTCAAAAATATATTTTTTTCTCCTCCACTCATCCATAAATCTGTATCCATAAATACACTCTCATCAGACTTAACAGTTTAAAGTCTGTTTTCTAAAGGTTTTTACTGTAGATTTGTACGTAATTTATCTGATTGAATACAACCATCCACATTGTTTTCTGAAAATCCTCTGTGTTTATTTATCAGCAGTCGCCAGATTACACAGCAGAATGAACCGCCAGCATGTGTTTAACGCATAGGAAACACCTATACACTCTTGCGTTCACACCCACACATACACTACAGCCAATATAGCTTATTCAATTCACTTATATTATATGTCTTTGGACTGTGGGGGAAACCGGAGCACCCGACTGAAAAACCCATGTGAACACTTGGAGAACATGCAAACTCCACACAAAAATGCCAACTGAGCCAGCTGGGGCCAGCAACCTTCTTGTTGTTAGGCAACAGTGTTACCCACTGCACCACCATGTCACCCCATGTAAAAACCTTTGACTTTAATACCTTTGATATGTAAAAAATCAATTAAACTATTTATAACCTAACCTCATCCAACCCTCAGATATTTGTGCAAGCATACATGAAAAACTTTTGACATTATTTAAAGTTGTAATTAAAAGTAATTACTACTTGGAATGACCTAACTTGTATTACACATAATTTACATGCTTAATGATATTCAGTGTACTTTAAACACATATTTACTTCAGATTCAATAAGCCTCTTACTTAATAACAAATAACACAGGAGGATCGTATTACAGAGAAATATAAAACCTCAAAAAAGTACAGAGCATGCCAAAATGCCCTGCATCTCCCGTATCTTTCTGCTGTGGTTTGATAATTTCCCCATATGAGACAGTGGCTCTTAGCAGCCCTTCATTAACCTTATCACGACTTCTCTAAGGAGCTCCAGCTATATTTCAGCAGATTTCAACTCTGGGGACACTACAGTAGTTTTATTGATTCTTAGGACCACAGTTGATTCAACCTGGAACATCATGTGCTTTGTATAGGTGAAGAAGTCTGAGAGCAAGTTCAGAAAACAGACTTGGAAGCAGGGCTTCAATAATGCTTGGGGGGGAAATATAATACTGTTACAGTAAAAGTAGTTTTGGGAAAGTCAGAAGGTGTGGTTAAGTGAGAAACCATGAGTCATAATGGAGAGAGGAACTTAGTCAATTATACTTATCCAGATGTATTATCAGGTATTATCAGATGGCATTTTGTATTGTGATGCCAATTTATCTGTCAGGACGTGCTGCTATTATATCTTTTACCTAAAACATTCTTTTTTTGCTTCCATGGTGAGTGAAGGTTTAATGATGGGTGAAGTCTAATTAGTGGAAAAAGTCTAAATTGATCAAATTTGGTGAAAGTTGCTTAATCTTTCTTTATGTTGTTAACTATTTTGCTCAGCCAGGCTTTATTTAATTAAACAAATCTAAAATAACATTTTTTTTTTTGTGGTTTAAAGCTAAATTTTCAGCATCATTACTTCATTTTAATTGCCACATGATCTGTTAGAGGTCATTGTAATAAAATTTCAAGTAGAGATTTTTAATGTTACAAATGAGTTTTTCAAATGCTGTTATTTTACATGTTCTCTTTGTCAAATATTCAGAAAAGTAAAATGCATCAGTTTTACACAAGCATATCAGACAGAAAAAAAAGTGTTTTAATACTACTAATAATTAGAGGCATTATTATTGCTCACATATTGATAACAAAACGGTTATCAACTCTACCCATCCCTTCCACAGTCTCTTTCTGCTCCTGCCATCAGGAAGAAGGTTTTGAAGTAATAGAGCCTGTTTGGCTAGACTACTCAACAGCTTCCTCCCACAGGCTGTTAGAGCCTTCAACTCCTGTCAATTTACCCCCCTCCCCCTCCCCATGCATACTGAGTATGTCCCATACAGTTGAGTGGGCTTAACAAACCACCTGTAGAAAAGACGGCCTCTCATCTCTCTGACTCTTGCACCAGGTTGCACATTTGCACTGGTATACACTCTCTTAATCACTGTCTTTTGGAAATAATGTGCATTTTAAATTGTGCTTCACATAGGTGAGTGGGCTTGACAAACCACCTGTAGAAACTCTCTTCTCTCTCTTATGCATCTGACACTTTATCTAAACTAAATCTACAAGAACTCAATGAAAGCGATGTTAACTATAAATATGCCACAATCATGTTGCACTGCTTGCTTCTACCTTAAATAATTCTTTTGCACAATTTAAATGCAAAATACAAATAAAGCTCAACTTGACTTGAAACTCATGATTGAGCAAGTCAACCTTTGAGAAAGATTTCTAAAGTATCGTGTGACGGTCACAAAAGGAGAGTAGATGCTGAAATTGCATTAAATGTTTTTTTAAATTATGTACATATAAGACTGCTTTTAAAATGTAATAGCATATTATTCATATATTTTTTAATGCTTTTTATCTAATAATGCATTATTGATGAGCATAAGAGGTTTACAAAATTGCAAACTTTTGACTGTTTATATGCAATTATTGATTTAAAATATTATCAATAATATAAAGAGGTATTCAGTTTTTTTATTTCAGTTTTATTTATTGGAAATAATGCCTTGTTGATTCACTTTTCAAATCTTGGTTCATAACTATATCATTATTGTGGATTGTTTTTCTTTTAAAAAGTTTTTCAATGCTCAAATGTCATCCTCAGATCAAACATGTCAGGTCCTGTAGGACGTTAAGATA